GCCCCATCCTTACTACCATGGTTGACTGTTCTCAGTTCTGCATTGTCGACCGCTCGGGGGCGAACTGAGCTCAATGCTAAGCGACGCAGGGTCGCGGAGAAAGGCGGCAGCACGCCAGCCGTCAGGTAATCGCGCAATCCGAGGAGCTGGATGGGGCCGGGGGACGACGGCGCGGGCGGGGCTGGAGTCGCCGCCGTCGAGGCAGGAGGCGCGCGGAGAGACGCGCGGCCACAGGAGGGAGATGGAAGAGGGGGGTTGTCGGTCGTTCGGGTGCGCCGAAGATGGGGGTCAGAAAGAGGGGGGGTTACAGCAGGGGCCCGACAACAAGAAACCTTCCACAAGAAACCCAACCCTGAGACCCCAGGACGTCCATGGGTTTTTGGTGTTGGAAATTCGCGCGTCCCATCGCAGAACCACAGAAACCGAAGAAACCCAGGGCACCCTGGAGGCAAGCAGGGTGTTTCTTGGCATGGGTCTCCACTGCAGCGGATCAGCCCCGATCTTCGACGACATTGCGATTTTATCAATGCCTGGCATCTTCCCCAGATTTCGGCCTCCGGGGTCCTGGGCGAGGAACTGGGCCTGGGGAAGGGGGTCCGAACCTCTGGGGCCGCGCCTTGAAAGTGCCACGTCGTCGGGCGTCTGGGTCGCCAGAGGCATGTGCGCGGACCAGAAGGCGGGGTGGCAGGGGGTGCACGGACAGGGGAAGAGGAGGCCACGAAGCCTCGGCGAGGTCGCGGCCCCGGCCAGGAAGTCCACCCTCCCGCCCGCCTTGCGGACGCGGCCGCCAGAGGCCGTATCCTGAAAATCCGCGCGCGATGTGCGACTGGCGGCTGAACATCGCCGGCCCCGGCCCCGGCCCCGGCCCCGTGGAACCGGCGATGCATCGCCGATGAGTGAGCGGCAGACCCCCGACGGCGACATCGAAGGCTCTCTCCTGGGCGGGGCGGGCCGACGGGCACCCATCGGCGTTCAAGGGGGCGATCGGCGGTCGACGTTCGATGCGGTCCCCCTTGAGCCCAGGTCCCCCCGCTTTACCAGCCTGGAACATATCCCTGTCCCTATGCTGGGCACCTCCTCATCACGACGCCAACCTGAGGGATTCTCTTCTTATTTTTTGAGGGCGGGTCCCTGAGATGGTCATCGCCTTTTGGCGTGTCGATCTTAGGGATAGGGGTACGTTCGAGGCTGGTAACCCCTGTCTCCCCCCCCCCCCTGTCATGGGTTCCTGGATCACAGCTCGCACCTCCGGCGGCCGTTGGGGACGGCTCGGGATTAGCACCGGAGCGCCCTCGACGAGGCGCAGCCGCTGCATCGCAGCCCGAGGCTGGAAGGCCGCCGAGAGCCGACGAGGCCGCCCGAACCTCTCAGGGGGCCTCTTGGCGGCGTCCTGGGGCTCGCCAAAGGGTTCGGGAGGAACTTTTTTGGTGGGGGCACCTCCGGGCCTCCTGTGGGCGCTCTTGAGGCCTCCGCAGCCCCTCGGAGGCGACAAGGCGAGCAGGCAAAAGTCATTGAAGGGGCCCCAGGACACACAAATAAATACACACAATAAACATATTCCCCATATCTTCTCATATTTTCTGGGTTTTTGTCTTCCCCCCCACTTCCCATATTTTCTCATATTTTCCTGGGAATCGCCGATGAATTGTGTCTGTGTGTTTTTTCCTCTCCTGAATCATGGCTTGTCCATCGGATTATCGGGGGCGTCCGGGCCTCCTGGGGCCGTGTGCGGGGCGCCTTGAGCGTCTCCCGAGAGGCGCCCGCAGGCTCTCTCGCGCCGCCCTAAAAAAACCTCGGGAGGCCGTCTTGCGGGGGCGCCTCGGGGCCCCCATTTGAGCCGCCCCGACGGCGCTCGCGGAGCGCTCCGGGGGGGCCGACCTGGGGCCCCACGGACCGCGCCGTGCCCCCGGGCCCCGCGTGCGCGGCCGGGGTCCTGGCCCTGCTGGGGCGCTTGGGCGGGCTCCCCCGTGAGGTGTGCGCGATGAGCCACGGCTGCACCGCAGAGCGAGAAGGGGGGGGGGCCCGGGAAGGGACAGTCGCAGTCCACGACCGGTTTAAAGCAAATGCTCGCAACTGGCGCGGCTCCGCCGCGGGGGCTCACGATCCACTGCATCGAAGCAGACATGCCTTCCTCGAGCGCCTGCGAGCAGGCACTCTCTGCGAGTCGCGGGGCCCTGGCCCGAGCGGTGGCCGCCGCGATCGCCACGGCGACCTCCAAGACCGGCCCGGAGGTCTGCCTCGGGGCCTACTGGGAGGAGGAGGAGGAGGAGGAGGAGGAGGAGGAGGAGGAGGAGGAGGAGGAGGACGGGCGGCCGCAAGACCGCAAGAATCCTGCCTCATCGGCGCACCTGGCCCAACACGAGCGCGCATGCTGCTGCCACCCCAAACCCCCGACGTCGTGATCTGTTCATTACGTCGACCCCCGAGGTCTGGACCCTTCCTCCGGAACAAAGTTTTCGTCCCGAGTCGTCTTGTTGACGGTCCTGAGGGCCTGTAAGGGCCCCTGGACGCCCAGAATAGCGAAGCACCTCCCGTCAGGACTTTTTCACTGCCCGAAGGGGTATAGGACTACCGCATCGCGCTCGGCGATCGGGAAACCCCGGTGGGCCCGCACCACAGGTCACTCCAGCGAAGGGTCACTCTTGCGTGCAGTCGATCGGCTTGCTGGCCGTGGGAGTGGGCGCTGCGGCCAGCAGGCAGGCACGCGCGCCCCCTCCCTGACGCGCCGAACCCTCGCTCATCCCGAGGCGTGCCTCCGACGAAACGCGGAACAGAGGAGCACGGCGAGGAGGAGGAGGAGGAGGAGGAGGAGGAGGAGGAGAAGGAGGAGGAGGAGGAGGAGGAGGAGGAGAAGAGGAGAAGAGGAGGAGGAAGAAGGAGGAGGAGGAGAAGAGGAGGGAGGAGGAACAGAGGGAGGAGGGGAGGAAGAGAGCAGGAGGAGGAGGAGGACGGAGGAGGAGGAGGAGGAGGAGGAGAGGAGGAGGAGGAGGAGGAGAAGGAGGAGCATAGGAAAACGAGGAGGAGAATAAGGAGGAGCATAGGGAGAAGGAAGAGGAAGAAGGAGGAGGAGGAGGAGGAGGAGCAGGAGGAGAAGGAGGGGAGGAAGCGGAGCAGGAGGGGAGGAGGAAGAGGAGGAGGAGAGGAGGAGGAGGGAGGAGAGGAGGAGAAGCGGGCAGGATAAGGAGGAGATGAAGGAGAAGGAGAAGGAGAAGGAGAAGGAGAAGGAAAAGGAGGAGGAGGAGGAGGAGGAGGAAAGGGGAGGAGAAGGCAGAACAGGAGGAGGAGGAGGAGGAGAAGGAGAAGGAGGAGGAGGAGGAGGGATGAGGAGGAGGAGGAGGAGAGGAGGAGGAGGAGGAAGGGAGGAGGAGAAGGAGGAGGAGGAGGAGGAGGAATCGGAAGCAGGAGGAGGAGGAGGAGGAGTAGGAGGAGGAGGAGGAGGAGGAGGAGGGAGGCCCGATATCAGGCAACGGTTGGACGCCCCCGTTCCGCTTCCTCCTCCTCCTCGCTGATCCGCGCGACCGCGGCGGCCGGCACCTCCATGGCGCGGCCGCGCAGGGGGCCGTCCTGGAAGCCGAGCACCAGCGTCGGGGACGCTGGCTCGCCCCTGCGGCACACCGCTGGGGGGAGGCATGCGGCACGAGATTGCACTGATTGTTCGGCGATGCAGTCGCCCCGTATCATCAGGATGCGCGGTCAGGATGCAAGGGCCTTGGAGGGCCACGTCAGCGTTTTTCGAGCGAGGTAGCCGAGCGAAAGTCGCTAAGGGTGGGCCGAAGGGGCAAGGACGCCAGGGTACCCTTGAGAAAAATGCCCATGCTTACTATGCGGGTTCACTGTAACCTGGGCGATCCGATGGGAGGGGGACGGGGGGAGTTGCGGGCCGATGGCCCAACCTTTTGGCTTTGGGCAGCCTCACGCATGCGCGCGCGCCAATACTGCGTACCCCCCTCGAACCTGCGCAGCAGCAAAGGTCAGGCTATCCGGCGAGGGGGAGGGGGCGGGGGAGGGCACGATGACCCAGTCGATCGGCGGACACCCCCAAAAAAACAGGCTCCATCCGCATCGGGCGGCCGACACTGGAGGGAAAGAAAGAGGGGACCGTGACCGAGACTGAACGCGGAGAATCGGCGACGATCTTGGTCACTGGCCGTCTTGGTCAAGCGTCGATTCGCGTATCATCAGGGCGAACCGGCGACGGCCCCCCGCATGGGCCGTGACCAACATCGGCGTCGACGAGATCCCGCGACATCTTCGTCATGGTCACCGTGTTTCTTCCCTCGAGCCAGGCTCCTGGCCCCGGGAACCCTGGCAAGGCTGCGGGTTGCGCACAGACAGCCCCCCCCCTGGCAGTCCCAGCTGGCCTCAGAAGGCCCGCCGAGTGATCCCAGCCAGCCTCAACACGGCCCCGAGCGGCCCAAGGCGGTCCCAACACCCCAACCCTGTGGCGCGGAGCGCCCCAAGGGCGCCGCCGAAGGCGCCGCCAAGGTGCTGAGACCGCCCCGGACTACTCGGGGTGCCTGTTGACGCCACCTGGGCAACTCAAAAACCTGTTGAGGCAAGCTGGGACTGCTTGGGGGGGCTGTCTGAGCGTAACGCGAAGCCTCACCAGTGCTAGAAGAACAAGCAACTGCATGAACGTAGTTTCTTGGAGGTCCGCGCGGATTTCTTGGATCGGCGCTGGACCCCTCCCTGGCGCGCGGTCCGCGTCAGGGGCGGCGCCAGAGGCGCCGCCAGGGGGCTCCACCGCAGCTCCAAGAAAACCGCACGGAGCCTCAAGAAATTATGCTTTGGACGCCCGAAATGGGTACGGAAAGAATGGGCACAGTGCCCAACAGCAAATGTTGCCCCGAACCAACAGCGGCCGCTGCTGGGCAGGCGGCCTTCTGTCTCGAATGAACACAGGCCGCGGCGGCGTGGACAGCGAATCCTGTTCAGAATGAACAAGAACTGCTGTTGGGCACTGTACCCATTCTTTCCGTGCCCATGTCGGGCGTCCAAATATGCGCATATGCCGCGTGCGTTCGGTGCGCACGTGCCCAGCAGCGGCGGGACCGCTATGCCGCTGCTCCCCGGACCTCTCCGAAGGGCGCGCGCACTGCCCAGAAGAATTCGAGGCGAGAGCCCGGCCGTGGCGACGGGGGCCTCCCGGTAAGCCCAGAGAGAAAAACAAAAAAACAAAAAAAAGCGAGGGTAGCGGCATCGGTGCCTCCTCCTCCTCCTCCCTCTCCCCCCTCCCCCCTCCCCCTCCCCCTCCCCCCTCCCCCTCCCCCCCCCTCCCCCCCTCTCCCCTCCCCCCCCCCCTCCCCCTCCCCCTCCTCCTCGCCTCCTCGCCCCATCCCCTCCCCTCCCCCTTCCCCCTCCCCCTCCCCCTCCCCCTCCTCCCCTCCTCCTCCTCCTCCTCCTCTCCTCTCCTCCTCCTCCTCCTCCTCCTCTCTCATCCTCCTCCGCCTCCTCCGCTCCTCCGCCTCCTCCGCCTCTCCCCGCCCGCCTCCTCCTCCTCTCCTCCTCCTCCTCCTCTTCCTCCTCCTCCTCCTCCTCCTCCTCCTGGCTCCTCCTCCTCTCTCCCCTCCTTCCTGCTCCTCCTCTCCTCTCTGCTCCTCCTCCTCCTCCTCCGCCTCCTCCCCCTCTCTCCGCCTCGCCTCGCCTCCGCTCGCCTCCTCCTCCTTCCTCTCCTCTCCTCCCCTCCCTCCTCCTCCCTTCCTGTCCCTCCTCCTTCTCCTGCTCCTCCTCCTCCTCCTACCTCCTCCTCCTCTCCTCCTCCTCCTCTCCTCTCCTCCTTCCCTCCTCCTCCCCTCACTCCCTTCTCCTCCTCCTCCTCATCTCCTCCTCCTCCTCCTCCTCCTCCTCCTCCTCGTCCTCCTCTGACGGCGGGCCTCAGCTCCACGACGACGCCGGCCGCCCCCCGCAGGTCAGGCCGCCCTTCTGGCGGCCGGATGAGCTCCACGAACTCGCCCGGGCACACGGCGGGCGGGGGCAGCCCAGCGACCACGGCGTCCAGCAGTGCCTCGACGTGCCGGAAGGCCAGCTCCCGCACCTGCATGAACGGGGAGGTGCTCCTGCCGGCGGCACCCCACAGGAGATGGCGCGAGGGGGGTGGGCTTCTGAGAATGGACGAGCGCGCTCCACTACTCGCAAGAAGTTACTGCTCGCAAATGGCCTGGACCCGCCGCGGGGGATCTACGACAAATCTGATCGGAGCAGACCTATTGTTTGTCGGACGTTTGCGAGTAGGCACTCTGCGAGCAGTGGAACGCGCTTGGTGAGAGGGCGGCGGGCCTCCCGAGAGGCCCGCGGCCTCCTCGGAAGCCCACCCCCCTCGCGCCAAACCTCCTCTGGGGCGCCACCGATCCTGGCCACCGCCTTGTGCTCCCTGTCGAGCACGATGAAGCCCTGGCAGCCGAGCTGCCCGTAGTCGGGCATGTCGCCGTCGTTGTCCACGAAGGCGTTGACGCAGTGCGTCAGCTTCATCTCCCTGCTCATCTCCTGCGCGAGCCTG